GGGGGGGGAATGTAAAGGAATTAATTGATTGCTTAAAAAAAAGCATAATTGACCATATTTGTTGCTCATCACAATACACCAACTATCCTTTGGCAGGGATCAAATTCTATCTATTTATGTGATAATAATTTGATATGGAGTTCAAAATCAGTATTAAAATTTCTATGAAATCATATTAAACAAGTAATGTTCATTTTGAGAAAGTGGAACAAGTTTGGGATGAATTACTAAAGAAGAAGAGAGTAAATTAGCAGAAATGTCATGTTTATTATTGTGGATGCAACTCATGTAAGGTGAAAGTAACAGCTCGACAAGATCATGGAAGATAACATGAATAATAGTATTAAAGGCATCATAGTGCAGTCATTGTCAAAAAAACATCACAGTGCATTCTTAGAAGGTAATATATGTGTTGGGAGCATTTCAATAAGCAGCTTATTGACTCCTGAGGGTCATTACCCGGTCTGAGGAGACAAATGAACCAGAAGCTCAAAGCTGGCCTTTTTAATTTATTTCTTTTTTTGGATAAGGAAATCCACGTTGATAATAAACTAAAATCAAAGTTGGCTTCTAATGTCCTTACCCCAAAAGAATAAAGAAAAGAGAAGAAGATGCAAACTACTCCTACAACTACTACGCCTGTTCCAACCAGGTTGGATCGGCCATATGAATCCTCTGACTATGTTTCTCTGTTTAAATTCATCTAAGGCCAATATATACAAACTAAAAGTAAAAATAAAAAAGGGAGAATATGTTGATCTATGATATGGCTAAAAGATCCCAGAAAGCATATGACCTAAAGTAAACGTACGAACATGACGAAAACATATCCCCAACTAATTGATATTGCTTATGTATATCTTTTAGCTTTCATTGTGCTCTATCTTTCGCTAAGTTTGCATGGATTCCAATAAATTGTAGGTTTTCGAGACAACTCTGTTCCATGTGAATTTAGGTCTATGTCGTTCCCTTTTTAACACTTTCATTTACCATATTTTCATACCTACAGACCAACGCATCCGAAGGTCGACATGAACAAACCATCACAAACGACTTTATCTCATTTTATCCTCGATGTGTTATTTGCACCTTTTAGCAAATGTGATCATTTTTTATCTTATCTAATCGTATATGACTGAACATACATCTTAACATCTGTATCTCTACAACCTAAGTTGTTCAGACTCGGATGCGGGTATCCGATACGGGTATGAATCTAGAGATCGGATCCTACAAGATCTAAATTTTAAGATTTAGGGGTATGTATCCAGATACAGGTGCATGGATTCGACTGAAAATAATTCAAATATCTAAAAATAGAATAAAAAAAATATGTCTAAATTATGAGACATCATGTGAAAAACATTCACGGTATTCCGAAAAGGAGAAAATATTGATCAAGAGGAGAATTTGAAAAGGATTAGAGGACAGACATAAAAATTTCTATATACAAGGTATTCCATTTTCTTCAATTTCACCCTAATTTTTGTTTTGATTTCAGAAATTATTGTATTTGTCCCGAATTTCTCCTCGATTTTGGTCAAAGTAGCCAAAATCGGTTTGAGATATCCAGTACGGATCCCACACTCACGCCGTGTCGACACGGGTGCAGCACTGAAAGTGAAAGTCCGAGCAACTTAGTCAACAACACTCATCTTGTAGATGTGTTGGACTTTTGTCGCCCAATATTCACTCTCATATGACATTGTTGGTCATGTAATTCTTCAATGCAACTTACCTTTCACCTTGGTAGGCATACTTCTATTAGATACTACCGCGGGAGTACTTCTCTATTTCAACCATCCTTATAATTGTTCCATGCTAACAACTCTTACTAGAATCTAAAACCAATATTCCTCAAGCCCATCACCCTAATTTATTCATTGTGGGTTCAAATATGCCTCAACCCTAAACAAGTTGGGTTGGCTATATGAATTCTCTATACCTGATCCTCTCCATTATTTCATTCTAATACTACAAACTTATTTCTAAAAAACATATTAGAGGTTCTGTAAAACTAGAGCGGATCTCTAAATTCACTTATCCTTGCACGAACATACACTATTCAGTCCAAAGAGAAAACCCGTGCACAGGCCTTAGCACCTTCACACCTACACTAAAGCGCCAATTAAGGCATAGGGCACAGCCTGAGGTTGACCGAGCTTCAGGGCCTAAGCGCACTTTAAGCAAGACTTCAACAATATATTCCAAAAGCTGTTAATCAAGACATCTACTCTATGTGCACTATGGAGCAGTATATTAAACAAGGATTGTGCTTTCAGTATATTGAAGAGAAAAAAAAACAAGAAATCAAAGCAGTACCCAGGAGCGAAGCCTGCAGAATTAGGAGATTGAGAGCAACATCATCTCTCCAATTGATGGGGCCATGAAAAATCCTCCGGCTATAAAATATGACACTAGTGCTGTATACCCAGTACACCAAAACGCAGAACATCAATATCCGTATCCTTCTTACAATCAAAGGGCCTTTTCCTTTGTGAAGGTGAGACAAAGCCACAATAATTGGTTCTTGAAATGAGGTGTGGAACCATATCCCCAAAAACACAAGTGTTTCGCCCAAAATTAGGGAGGCGAGTATGAATAATACTATGTATGTGCCAAACATCTTGTGTTCTACCACTGTGACAGAGAAGAATTTGTTTACAAAAAGGTAAGGGGACGAAGGTCCCATGGCGTTTATTTCCTCGTATCACCTTATGCTGCTGAAATCAATAATTGGTATTTCAATTGACAATCCGACATCAAAAGATATCCCAGAGGGAATTTTTCCATCAATTACATATGAAACTACAATATTCAATCATTGAAGGTTTTATTGGTCATTTTGTCATTGAATAATATTTAATTATCTAAAAGAATTTAAAGCATATTATACCTCGCGAAAAGATTATATATACGGTCTCTAGTCAAATCTCTCTGTAACAACATTATCTGTTTCGATATTTTTTGCTTTTTATAGTGAACGGCTCATATAACAGCACTTGATATATAAAATATAGGAAAATTTTTAAAATTTTAAATCTCTAAAGATATGTATATTTTACTAATTAAATATTAAAAAAAGCTAATATATTATTATTAAATTCATAACTAAATATAGAAAGATTTAAACTTTGAGGCACATACTTTAAAGTTACTTGAAAAATAAATTCTTTCAAGATTGATGGAAGAACTTTGCAATTGTAGCTTATTTCGTAGACTTCATTCTCTTAATAGTGATATAGCGCTTGAACTGGCGAAGATTTGTGCCTAAATTTGTAGCAAAGGGGTATCCAATAACTTTTCCTTGAAGGCAGTCTAAGAGCTTAACAATAAAATTTTCTATCTAGTATTTTTTTGGCATTTGTCCAATAAAACAGATATCATGTGCAAATCTTCAAATCTTATGCATTATGCAAGATGAAAACTCTATTCAATGCAAAACATTATGTGCAGGTATTAAGAATTATTAAAGATTATGGGTGTGTTTGGTATGAAGTATGTAGACATGTAATTTTTTATCCTCCCCTTGATTTTTACACCTTTTAGTGCTTAGATGTTTCTTTTAGTTCTAATATTGTTACTTTGCGTGTTTTTGATCATTTTGCTTTAGTTTCTCTTAAAATGAATAACTCACGAAGTTCCTCCGCTTGACAAAAACCATTATCTCATTCTGAACTAAATAGTGATATTTTTCCTTTGATATACCGTACATAAATCTGACCGTACTAATTTCAAGTCCAATAACCTCATCTCACCCAGTACAAGCTGCTCAGGCAATAAGCCACCTCAAACACTAACCAAGATCTCAAATGACGCCATCAATGTAACGACAAGCTACAACTTAAATATGACACATAAGAAGGAACGAACTCTGGGAAAGAACTACCCAGCCCGCGTAATGAAAAAAATGGTCGAACAGAGGCTATGAACTCTTCTCAGAGAATGAGAAACAAAATACACAAGAATAGATATAGGGAACCGTATTCAACATCTCATTGTTGTGGCGTGCAACCCGATCCAAATAACATATCCGTGGCGGCATGCCACCCGATCCACACATAATAATAAATAAGAAAAAACCCATCAAGCCATAATGCTTATACCTACGAAATACCCGAATATAGACCACAAACACGCCAAGTGCGAAAACATAACCCTGGGGAGAAGGATAGCGCCACACGCTACAAAAGCTCAAGCACGACTAAGGTGCAATAACGACAAGCTACAAAGGACCACAACACACGTGCGAATAATCAAGTCGTCTCATAACCCACATGGCATAATATAGTATTACGAAGAATAGCTGACGATAGGAATAATATCCAACACCCGAAGACTCCTTCATAAGCAGCGCTAAGCTGAATGAACACATCTGACCTGACCTGATGTAGAGAACACATTCACATTAAGTCTACTAGTAGACTTCAAGCCGATTCCGATCATCCCGTACTGGGCCACTAACCTTCCAAGGATCCACAATGACCCTATTCATGACATATAAGAACAACCGTCAAATCCGGAACAAACTCCCACAGTCCACAACCAAAGGAATAAAGCGCCTCTCAGTCATAACCTCTCCCATTGGCGATAGTACCAAAATCTCCATACCTATTTTAAATCTCTAACAATCGAATGACTAACACGTCACACTTATACGATCTTCCCGTGGGATATACTCCCACAACCTTCCGCACCAGGTAGTAAAATCTAAAAATTAATGGCCATCGACCATGTTATTCTATAATACTGGCCAAGCACCCGCATTTCAATACCCAACACTCCTACCACAAAACAGACCATCCTCTAGCTGCCCGAAGATAGTGCCAACATACTCTGAACATTTGAATTCCTCCCCCGCTCCTCCAAGCTCACGACATTCTTATCAACACCAAATCTCGACCTTGGTCCTCAACTTCCAAATTCCCATACCGCCCGTTGCATTTACCATGCCTCTACACGAGAGTACAAGAATTCATCATAACCCCTGAACTACTTAGAATAAACATTTCATTAGCTAGAAACCTTTCACTTAACTCGTTTCAGAAGAATCATTACAACACGCAACTAAATTCGCATAACCGTAGAAAATACGAACCTCGGGTTGTGGTCTAAACCTCCATAACTCTTCCGAGATCCATTCACACATAACAAGGCCATTAGAATAAAATACCTCCCAAATCAATCAAATTATGATGGTTGTCAAGCCCGCACGTACAACCACAAACCATCTATATAACTAACACGCTGAAGGAACTGATCATTGCCACAATCATGCTGATTCAAACCATTACTAGCCGACCCAACGTCTTCCAATTTACTCTTGACTTGCCTTAGAAATAATAATAGCTTCAACTGGTACACCCATTCTGAAGGACCTTCCGCGAATCCGAAAATGTTTCTTCTATTTCTCCAATACTGCCCCGCAAACCCGATGATAACATAGAAAATTCCCCAAGTATTCTCCACCCTCTACTACAAAATCCCGGTCTTCAGCCACACAACGAACCCAAAATCCTTAGATATCGTTCTTACATCCTTGAACCCATTAGAACCACTATTGAGAGTCACCCACTCTGACCTGGTCCCCAATATAATCAAACTCCATCGCTCTGTTAGCACATGAACACTCCCAAAGAAGCAACCAGATTAATTCCTTTCCTTGTACATCACATCCACAAGAAGCATAAACTCTAAGTCTTCCCAAAACCTGTACATTAGTCGATAAGGCGAAATATAACACACATTCATCAAGTTCTTTGCTCGAATTACCCTTGATGTTTTTTTTTCTTAGTCATAAATAATCTACCAATGCATCGATAACCAGAAACTGCACAAGCAGACAACCACATGATCCAATCGTAGACGATGGGCTCCCCCACTTAACTTTAAGCTACAATCATATAAATCTAAAACCCACAAGGATTCCTCATTCTCAATTTACCATGATCCCTCACCGTTAACCCGCCAAATTTCTCAAAATCCATTGTTAAACTTTTCACAAACATTGCGAGTTATCAGCCACAATCGCATATTCGACCTTCTGCCGAGTAGTAAGTAGAAATCTTCGTAGAAACTTCATCAAAATCACGCAACCGCTAACCTGCTCAACGTCATCGTTAGGCAAGCCAACAATGAACTACCAACTTGATTAGGCATTTTATTATTTTCGAAATTGTGAATTTTATTAGATAAAGAAATCAATGCATTACAATTATGGAAACTTACACTTTAAATAGAATAGATAATAAGAGTGTATAAATGTTATGCAAAATCACCAACAACATCTAGAACATCCCAAAATCCGGTGTCACAAGTACATGAATATCTACCGAGAAATATAAATAAATACAACATCTGCCTGGAATACAAATTAGACAAGGGAATGTAAATAACTCTGATAGAGACTCTGTATGCTGCGGATCGTAACATGGAATGTAGCTCACCATAAAGTCCCTGCAGTAGCCGCGCCTCTGCGCCCAAAAGACCACCAGAAATATACATATATACCTACACAAAAAGTGCAGCAAGTGTAGCATGAGAACGTAAATCAACACGTACCCAGTAAGTATCTATCCTAATCCCGGAGAAGTAGTGATGAGGGGTCGACGTCGATACTTACTAGTGGTCCAATAAATCAAGTACAACAGAAAGTAAGCAAGTGTGAGGCATGGTAAAAATAGTGCAAACAAATTTAAGCACGTGGTACGATCCTCCTCTGAACAGTAAACGCAAGCCCTCAATTATCGGTCTCCTCCTCAACCGGAGTATATATGGAAAATGGTCCCCACTGGATAGATCGTTGCAACTTAAATCAGGAAAACTCACGAATACGATTGCTTCTTGCCAAATATTATACACGACGCTGCCAAGGCGAACGACCCGATCCCATAAGAGTAGTTATATAAATGTCGAGGCGTACGACCCACTCCGATAATAATATGTGCATTGCCGAGGGTCGAACGACACGAACCATAGATGCATCTATTATACTGCCGAGTCGAACGGGCCGCTCCTATAAGAGTGTGGTACATAATCCTACCGGAGGCGATCAGCCTGATCCCATTAGAGTAGAAGCTTTAACGGGTCCTTGACACCACTCACGAATAAACATGTGAGTTATGAACTTTAAGGAAAGTTTTGTGATAAAAACGCACAACGCGGGAGTAATTCATAAGGGAAGCACAAATTATTCATGGATTATCAAGTAGCTTGTCATATCTCTACAATAGCGAGTCTGTCACTCTATGCAAGTCTACTTTCAAGTTGTAACGTGAAATAAAGGAATTAAACGAGTAAAGATGACTCAAATAGTGCAATTATAGCATGACGTGAACCTATGTCTACTCGGACATAATCAATAATTCTAGCATATGCACAGACACTCATGACCTCATACGTGTGTAGCTCCCACAATATGTAGCACATAATAATATAACATGTACGAGGTAAATTCCCTCTCACAGGATTAGACGAGAGACTTACCTCGATTCGAAGTTCCATAACCGGCTCTAACGCCTCTCTAACACCTAAAACCAAATGCTCATCGATCCGAAACTAGTCAAACAATCATGAAAACCAATAAAAATATGCCCCAACCTCATAATTAATTAATTTATAACAATTCCCAACTCCGTTTGAAGAGCCAAAAAGGTCAACCCTCGGGCCCACGTGTCGGGACTCTGAATATTTTCAAAAATAAACTTTACCCATTACCTCACGAACTCAAATATATGATTTACTCTTAATTCCACTTCCAAAATCGTGGTTAAAATCCAAAATTATCAATTTCTAGGTTTTCTCT